AAAATGTAACTAGGCTGAATATTCGTGCAATATCTGCGAACAGGCTGAACCTTCGGAGGAAATATAAGAGTACCAGAAAATCCAGAGGAAGTCTACAATGCTGCTGAATATTAAAAACGATTCTGCCAATGCTAGCTGATTATCCACAGGAGCTGCGCGATAATGCTTACCATCTGCAGGGAAGATTCGACTAATCTGAGTATGGCGCACATCTTTAGGATAATTTGGAAAATTGTTGATTGCTTGGACGAATTTTGTAAGCACCCCAGTTATCAAACAGAAATCTCCAATGCAGCTTATTGTTCACAGAAAGTATGCAAAGATGTATCAAGAGTATATTGACAAACATAATCCATATAGATGGGACATATTCAGTTATGCTGAATTCCAGGGAGAAAATAACGAATACTTCGAATAAGAAAAAATGGCAGCATATCCACGGGGTGAATAATGGAGAGTGGGGCGAAGTATTCGTCCATCCATTCGTTCTTGCTTCCATCCATTCATGCGTCCGTCTGTGTGACCGTCCATGCGTCCATCCGCCCATCCGTGCGTGCGTCTGTTCGTGCGTCCGCACGTCCATGTGTGCATCCGTCCCTGCGTTCGTCCATGCATCTGCTCCTGCGTCCGTCCATGCGTCCATCCGTCCGTGCAGCCATCTGTGCGTCCGTCCATGCATCTCTCTGTGTGTCCGTTCGTCCACCTATCACCGTCATCCACCTAGCACCATCGTCTAGCGGACATTCCAAGGACTAAACGAGAGGTGACAAATGCACACTTTCTTACGGCTTGCCCTTCGTGTCTACTTCCCACCTTTAACCACCTCGAGTTCATGGTATATACTAACTAGTTCACTGTATTCATGGCACGGCGGCCCAACGCTCGCTAAACCTTTCCAATCGAAGGAGGTTACGCCCAGCAAGTATAACGTAGCAACCCTCTGTGTCAGATAGTGCTCAATGTACATGCCGATGACTGCTAATGGAGAATGAGAGACAGGAGAATTCGGCTTTTAGTTAACGCGCACGCTGTGAATTTTTTTTCTTTTTGTTCAACAACGCACAGGAAAAGTCTCCCACCGGCACCACCTTGCAGGTCAAAGCGTAAGACATGTTACGTACTACGGCGAGGGACGAATGGGTGCCGCTTTAAGAAGCTTCGCCCCTAAAAAACCTGCAACTTCTGTGCATTTCACAAGAAAATATGCAGTGTGCGCAATATACAGAAGAAAAATTTATAATACCACTTATCTGAAAATAATTTATAAATATTTTGCATAATGATATGATACCTCAAGACCTTCTGAAATCATTGAAGAGACCTACATAAATCAAGACATTCTTAGGAAGAATGCACATAATTTGCGTATGAAGGAAATTTATGCGGAATATCTAAAATAAATCTTTAAGGCTGCTGGAGATGCAAAGGGAATACGCACATATTCAACACACGTGTAGAAATGTGTAAAAAAACACACTGCATACTGCTAAGACTCAATCAAGCAAGGCATGTTTATGAAATAAACTTACAAACACTCATAATATACCGAAAAAGTCATCAAACTTCCTTATTATACCATTAAAACCTGCATACGAGTACTGTCAAGTATGCAAACTCTCCCAATTACCCGGGGGAAAACCTGAAAGTACCTTCAACGTCCAAGCAAAGAATACGCAATATTAGTGGAAGTAGCATATGGATCTTCAATGCTGCTGATTATCAGAAGAAAAGCCTCAACCATGCAGATAAACCGGTGTAAGTATAGCTCTCCAAAATTTTTTCCCGCAGGATTATATTCAGGGATACGTACTCGAACTTCCAAATGTTGTTTGATGAATCATTGCTGTTGATTCGTCTCTCTGTTGCCGAAATCTGAGTAACTGGATTGATTCCTCACTGAAATGGCAAAATCTAGATCAACGTAATTTTAAATAATGTCCGCTTGTTTTAGGCACACGTTAAAAAACTTGATCAGGTCAGGTCTACAACCTAATCATAAATAAACCTCGCGCGCGCGCGTGTGCGCGTGTGTGTGTGTGTGCGTGTGTGTGTGTGTGCGTGTGTGTGTGCGTGCGCGCGCGCGCGTGTGTGTGTGTGTGTGTGTGTTTAAGAAGGAAGCTGGAATGAATACGTCGTAGCGTTTGTTCATGACAGCTACGAACTAACGCATCTATAATACATCTCTGCAGTCTTAGTGACTGCGCAATATTGAGTACCGGCCGATAGAGCAATCACAAAGTCAAAACCAATAAATCGTTTTTCTTTCTTTCTCTTCACCAGAAGGCGTGATCAATGGTTTGATGTCTCCTCAAAGCCCCCCCCCCCCCTCCCCTAATGAAAAAATGCATGACGCGCGTTCTTTTCAATGGGTACGTGTTACCTCGTCCCAAATCTGTCTTGGGCGTAAGCTACTGCTGGAAAAGAATTTGGAGCGTCCCATCAGACACTCGAAAACTGTTCACGTGTTACCGTGCATGGCTGACCAAGTATCCACCCGTTCGTGACTCACTTGTAGAACGCGTTCGAACTTCTCTAGGCTGGGGCGTTTCCTGCCACATGATCTTCTAGTGAAGTCTCTTCTGTATCTATGCTGGTATCACAGCGACCAAAATGTAAAGGAGACGACAGCAAGAAGAAACAAAAAAAAAGGCAGACCTCTCTACGCTACAGCAGCCACCGCCAGAAGCTGTACCGTCTGCTAGAAGCAGACAAGTGGCCAGATGATATTCACCCGCGGTGCCAAATGCCTCCAGCAGCTCCGGAATCCGAGAATTACCGATTCTGGCAGTCTCTCTCTAAACCTTTGATGCTGTTCGTTCTCATCGAGGCTCGTTGTTCAACACTTCCACGTCTTTCTCTTTCTTTATACCTAGTTTCTTTTTCCATTTCACCTTGAACTTCAGGCATGGTTGAATCGGTCTCACGTGCGTCACCGTGCTGCCGATATGCGTACTAAAACTAGCCTCAGGTGTAGACCGACCAGACTCTCGAAGTAAGAGGAAGCTTTCTCGTCGGCCTCCTTGGCCCAAATTCAAAACGGTTTTCGATTTTTAAACGTCCCCTCCATTATTCTTTTCTTCCAGTTGCACCACAACCCCCCACGTAGACATTTCCTTCTTTTGTTTTTTGCATTATCACACTTTCGAAAGTGTCCTAGCCCAATTGTACCGAATCACACGTGCAAGAAATCGTGATGCATATGCGCACGCCACACTGGTAGCTCGCAACACAGAAATTAATGGACCCATATCGAAATCGAGAATTGTTGCACCGAGTGGGCCATTCGTATTTGTTGAGCGAAGAAGCATTGTAAATTCAAAGCGCACCCACGATACGGTCTCGTGTCCGGCTCAAGAATTTATTGCGCGTGTGCAGCTTCGAAATCCGGCTTTTTTGAGGAATCGCGACTTCACTTATTCAAGAACTGCCGGTAATATTTATACAGTGCGGTACGTGACAGTTATACGACAATGTTCCTGAACCATCGGCACCGTTGGCCTCTTCGTGCTACTATTTTACGTAAGACAAAAGAGATGCTTTTGCCCAGTGACAGGTCTGCTAATGGTGTGCACCCGGAATCATTCATTCGTTTGATAGGACTGTGATATGCGAAAGATCATATCAGTTGATACCAGTCGGTCACGTTCACATACTCAATTTAGTGCCCTTCTTTTTGGTTATAGTAGTGCTAGTACCTTTTCTTCTTCGCATATAGGATGGTGGCAGACTGAGCGAAAAGTTTAGAGAGTGAGAAAGAGCTCTCGGGGTCACCTTCACCCTATGGGTCCTCAGTAACTAGTTTATCACGTGGTTGGAGCTATACTTATAGTCGCAAATGCACATCGAGTTTGACGTGGCCTTTCGCAACCGCTTCGGATGCGGTAAATCCGATTAATTAATTAATTAATTAATTAATTAATTAATTAATTGGTTTGATTGATTGATTGATTGATTGATTGATTGATTCATATGTGGGGTTTAACACCCCAAAACCACCATATGATTATGAGCGACGCCGTAGTGGAGGGCTCCGAAAATTTTGACCACCTGGGGTTCTTTAACGTGCACCCAAATCTGAGGACACGGGCCTACAACATTTCCGCCTCCATCGGAAATGCAGCCGCCGCAGCCAGGATTCGATCCCGTGACCTGCGGGTCAGCAGCCGACTACCGTAGCCACTAGACCACCGCGGCGGGGCATGCGGTAAATCCGATAAGTCATTTGCGCTCAAGGTCTGCTATGATTGCTGCACAGAAAAGCCATTTAGCGATTCTGTTTTTATCATCGTCATCAAGATTAAGACTTGTCCGAGACACTTCCGTTACATCTTCTGTGCCAGCTGGCCTCGATTTTCTCCAAAAAATATTCGGACTCTATCATGCCATCTAAATGATGTGCCGTTTTAGAATACAGCTCCTTCCATATATATCTTCTGACGGTCGGTGGGATAGGAGTACAGGAGGAACGCTACGAAATGTACGCTAGAGAAGCGAAGCTTCTCAATCTCACATATTTCTGTAGTGGTGTTCAATTCAAGAAACCCTATACACCGGAGCCCGTAGAAAAATGCGGCATAGAAACAGCATGTTTAGGTCACAATGCGAGAATTACGAAGATGGACGAGTACAGAAGAGACAGTTTTTGCCGATACAGAAATTTTGTCGTAGCACATATAGTTCTCGGATAGCCAGAGATGTGGTAGAACGATTACACAATAAACGATAGGATGACGCATGCGTAAGTGTGGCGTCGAAGTCTCTTACGGATAAAGTGGTAGCCTATCTTCTCAGCAAGTGCGCGGTTATAGGTTATGTGCGATGTAACTTTTTCTATTGCATTTTAACACTTTTCGCGCAATGTTGGTACGTTTCTTTTTATTGCTTTTACGTTCTTGTGTTCAAATAAAACGTTTCATTCACGAAAGACAGCGCTCGTCCATGTTGGTTGGTTGGTTGTTCCTCGGGGTCCTGGCGCAACCCACCATTGGGGATCGGCCATGAAACTTCCAAAGTACATATACTAAAATTGGAACGATACAGAGAAGATTAGCATGGCCCCCGCGCAAGGATTACACGCTCGTCCGTGTCCCTTCTGTACTTTTCGGCTTCGTCGTTGTCTCGTTGTACCCAAACGTGCACCTTCCACACATGCATGCGTATTTGCACGCGCCGTTTTCCAATAACTCTCGATTGGTGGGCTTGTCGATTTCTTGATCGACAACGCTCTCTCAAATCATGCGCTTGTCGACGATCAGCCCTTTCTGATATGAAAATCGGAGCTTTTGTCAATACTGCTTGTCATTTCACATTGCCACACTTCATTCCGTTCTGGACAAAGGCACTAGCGTTGTTGTTGCCTGTAGCATAGTGTCACTGTGCAAAGCATCTTATCTGGCCATGACTCAGAGAGAGAGAGAGAGAGGAAGGCCGGGAGGTTAACCAGATATTGCCATCTGGTTTGCTACCCAGCACTGGGGGGTGGAGAAACAGGGACAAGAAAGAGAGGGTAGATAGAGAGAGAGGAAAAAAAACGCACGTGCACTCATGAGAAAATAACACACACAGGAAGGGCGTTTTGCCTACAACCGTTCAGAAAGGCCGGTCAATCGCAAAAAGTGCAGTAGCGCTTACAGGGCCTTCTTCTGTGAAGTTGCATCTTGTCGATATCGTAGATTTCTTTCCTCCCACAGAGGTTGATTATCTAAGTTTCTGAGTTCCTTGCGAATGCATAGTCGTTGTCTACTATGCTCTAGGCAGTCACAAAAGATACGTCGAATGGTTTCTTTTTTGCCACAGTGGCCACAGGCTGTGGTGTACTTTTCCTGAAAATTAAGGCCTGGGTCCAGACTTCGCCAGTGAAATCAGAAAAGCACTGTTTCTCGCCAGCTTGCCGGGTTCGCTGGTTCAATCAAAGTTGGTCCTCGAGAACTGATCTTGTCAGTGCCGCTCATCTTCACACCCTTAGTCCATCCTAGGGGGTACGGTTACCATTCCAACTCTTTCGAAATCCGAGAGTATATGATCTACCATTGCTCTTCTTCATCGTATACACTTTCGTCACCGATTATATGGTTCTGACGAAGCAGAAGCCCTGGAAACAGCTTTATATTCGGAATTGGTAAAAGAGTTTCTGTCCACGAGCCAAGATCTGTGTGAGGTGAGTGATACGTGAAATGCGATACTCTATACAGCACGTTGCGGTGGGGCTGTATAAGCGTCTATTTTATATTGAGCCTTTTATCTTGCTTGGCCAATCTGCTGAAAGGCTGGTATCGCACGCTTTGTGGCCGGAAAAACAAGTTTGTGATGGCTTCTTTGTCAACGTTTTTGTTCGATAAACACTTTTCCGCGTAGTTTGGAGACAAAAAAGGAGGGGGGGGGGGGCGGGGTAATCAAGCTGTTTTCATACTGTACTGAGCATACGACGGCTGAATAGTGAACAATGGACAACCGAGTGTCTGATTGATTTGTCTGTACGTTCACAAAAAAATAACATGCACCATGTACAGAAAAGCGAATGTATAACTTGCCGAGACATTCTGCTCAGCATTGATCATAGGGATGATGAAAAAAATGAAGTGATTGGTAATGATAACAATAGCGATAGAGAAATTACAGTTTTCTTGCTTTAGGTGAGCATAGGAGTCTATTAATTGTTCGCTCATAATTTATGACCAAGACAAAATGCCCACATGGCCCTTACTAGCTAATCAAAAAGGTGGACGAAAAATATATCTCTGCGTTATACAGTGTACGTGTTGCAGAATATTCTCTTTTTTTACAGTAGGTATGAGAAATTACGTAGAAGTTGCGCCTGCGGTTTAGGCTTCTGGTGTGTTTGACCTTGCCGGAAGTGTTGCTTAGCACTTTGTATTGGCATGCCGGCCATAGCAGCACTGTTGGTGGCCATTGATAAAAGGGTGAAAACCTACTGCTGGGGGCCCTGTGTAGTCTACGCAGCGTACGATGTTCGTGCGGTTGTGTATATATGACGATGTTGTTTCTACGAAAGCCTCTATACGCATAGAGACACTACGTATGCCCGCATAAGGCAAGTCGCACATTCTCGTCTCTGGCTACTCTGATCAGGTTACTTGCAAGATCGCGCCACTCCCACATTTTTTGGGGCTCTGACTGTCTGTACTAGAACGTCAGTCTGGTGACGTCTCCTCAAACGGTACTGACGGCTGCACGCCCACTCTTTAGGTTAACGGGTCACCGGCCCTCGCTGTGGTTCACCGTGCGTTTAGAAACGAACTACAGAACCCATCGCATCATCGTCGCAGTTGTCGCCACGCAGCGGCGCCCGATCTTAGTGTGTACCACGTGTGAATCCCCGAGTCGCCGGTCGCGAGACGTAACGCGATACCGGACCTTGATGACTTCGCTCCTGAGAACATCTGGCGACAACTTCGCGGAGGTCTGTCGTCAAGTCGGCATCGCCCTCGCTCTTGGTTCTCTCGATCTCGGTCGTAATTGCTTTTATTTTTTGTTAACCGTTCGCGCTTTTGAGCGTCGGGTTAGCGTGTGTGACCGTGCTTGATTACGTGCGCCTCTGGTGGTGAGAAATGTACGGGGAACTCCAGGCGGTCCGCAGTACGGTCTTCCGTCGTAATGTGGGAGTGACGCTTTAACTATACGTAAAGGAGTACGTCACAAGCGTGAGAACTGTTTTGCTTCTCTGTGATGGCTTCTTGTCTATAAACTTAGTTGAGAGGGGTGCCAACGCATGAATCGTTTGCAGAGCACCACACGCTGTTCGCTTATACGTAGTCGCTATGTAAAGCAAGTGACTCGATGAAGATGATGAAGGTGAAGCGTGTAGATTTCTTCGTAATACTTCTTGTGAAGGTGGCATGCACGTGGTACTGAGGGTGACGCTGTCGCGAGTGTATACCTTCTCAGCTAAAGCAAGCTGACAGCTACTATGCTACACTGCAAGCTCTCCCTCTGTTGTTCCCTTGATGGCTTAATACTGACAGATAGCGCTTGCTTTGGAAAAGTCGTCACAAAGTTTCGCTATGTAGTCAGTCATGTAATCTTTTGTAGCACTAAGAGATCACATGAGCTAACCTTTCCGCAATCAATGCCGTTTACAAACAATACCCATTGAGTGCTGCGGCAATACCGTTCTTGTTCACTCCATAAGAAGGTCTGAGTATCTGCGTCATTTAAGTGTACTTCCGTACATACAGGCACGCACAACAATATGTCAGTGCCACTGGATATATCACAATTTAGCATTAGAAGAACACCTTTCCCTGTGTCCCTCGCCAACGGCCCCCTCTGCTGCTATTCACCCCGTCCTGAGCGGTATCTCGCCTCCATCTGCAGAAGTTACGTTTATGTTCGCTGTGGTCAGGCGCAGTGGCACAGTTTCGCGCAGTCTCCACACAGTGTCATTGAGAGTACTCAGAATGGTACTTATTCTCCCACAACGTGTAGCTGTCAGCAATATTACAACGGTTTCACGAACAGAGACTATGTGTCACACAGCCCACCTGTGTGACGAAACGGCGTTGTTTTGTCACGCACTGTCGTATTAAGCAGATTGTCATACAATCTCACACTTTGTTGAACGGTGTTACCGAATATCAGACCCGCTAACAGAGAGAATCACAGTATGACACTCTCAGGCACACACTGTCACACGCTGTCGTCACGTAGAGAGGCATTGTGTGACGCAAACTGTAGCGTCTTCTCGTCACACAACCTTGCAGAGAAACAAAGCCACAAAATGTTGCACAGTCCCATCCACTATATGCCACAGTTTGACAAAGTGACACATCCTCGGGCGTAGTTTCACATAGAGTATCGTAAATTGACAGTCATTAACACGGACGCTATGGCGTCAGTCTTCCATATATAGTGTTTTTCAGCGATCAGCACAGATCACGGCACTCAAAGACAGCGTCGTACTCTTTCTCACTATCACCTATAGCATATTATAAAAAAAAATAGCGAACGTGGCACGTCGCTGGAGCTGACGTCGCGACAAGTGGACTTCTTTTCTTGAAGGCTGCTACTTTCCGCTTGTCTTCTACAAACGAACAGTTGGAGACAGGTCCAATAAGGCGTGTAGCTATATGGGCGCGTTGGTTCATACTTCAGGGTGAACCGGTGTGAACAAGGACAGGGTGAACAAGGACATAGAAAGACTGAACAGGGATAGCCACAAACGACATCTTGCTCGGAAAGTAGCCATGACTATGCGTTTCACCAAGAGGTTGAAAGTTGACGGAGAAGGAGCAGACGAAATGCTGAAAAAAAATAGGGGGGGGGGGGGGGGGCGTTGTAGTAGACATGTGGAGAAGTAAAACTTGTAGCTGGGTGTGTCGGCTCATACCTCATGGTAAACAGGGACACCGAAAACCCGAACAAGGACAGCCGCATGTGTCTTGGAAACAAGTCCGCGAACAGGCACGTCGGCTCAATCTGCACCAAAAATGTCGGCTCCATCTACGTGCAGTGTTCACGAGTTTTTCATCACGTCTTGCTTCCATCTTCCCCTGAAGCATGGGCATAGCCAGGAGTTGGCACACGGGGCCCGTGCCCCTCCCCACCGAAAGTTTTTTTTTTTTTCGCCATGGCATAGAGATCAGAACATGACCATTCCCAGTGAGTGCCCTCCCAGAAATCAAAGGGGTGCCCCCCCCCCTTTATTAGTAACGAATTTCTGGCTACGCGCGCCTGACCTAAACCTTCGTCCTTTTCGTATTTGACACGTAAGTCTCGTCACATTGTCACACACTTACACGCAAGCAAATTCTCGTAATCCGGTGCAGTCTGTGACGACGTCCCACCGTCTTGTATAAGCCTCGTGGATATATTGTCATAGGGCCGCACAAACAGAATTTGTTGCCCAGTCTACCATATTTGAAATAATTCAAGTCAAGTCAAGTCAAGTTTATTAAATAGTTCAGTTTTACATGGTTAGCGTTATTACAGCAGGAGGTCCCAAAGTTTCAGAGAAACTGACAGGGGGACCTCCTATGGCTACATGGATGGGGTAATTACAAAAAATACAGCAATAGTATACGGACGAAAAGAATTCAGACGAAAAGATATTTATGAAGGTACCTATCAAATACATACGTGTCGAA